TCATTGCCGCAGTATACCATCTGAAAAACAAATCGTTATTTTCCGGAAGTCACTGTGCTAAATGAAGGAAACATTATCACTGATAGCACAACAGTCGTAAAGGTCAGCAAACTGACCATCACGAACATATACAAGCGACGCTGCAAACAAACCACCCCTCCCGCAGTCCATATCGGGGATTTCAACAGTCACCATATTCAGCGGGGCCACCCAGAGAATAACAGCGCGGAGAAACTGGTAGAATGTGCGTCTACAGAGGACCGCCATTTAGTTTTCGATCCGAAGCAGTACGGAACGTTTCGATCCATACACTGGAAGAAAGAATACAACTCAGACCTCTCGGTTTTACATTCGCTGACCACAAGACATCTATTCCCGCTAGCCGCGCGATTCTGAACGACTTCTCAAGTAACCAGCACAGACTGCTGCTATTCAATAGTCATATCGAAGAATAGTGCCATCAACAATGAATTACAAAGATGATCGATTATCATTCACCTCTGAGAAAGAAAGGGAAACAGTACCGATCACGCCCGTGCCTGAAAACTTCAGCAAAATCAGAAGGGCAACAGCGGATACCGGAAGGCGTACTCGCTGTACTAGCTGCCTGAGACAAAAAGAATACGAAAGGACTTCTGATCCAAGGATAGCAACCCAGCTTTAAAAGACCTTGGATGCCGGAAGACGAGAGCGAAGGGAAGGGGTGGCGTTGGAAACCTCAATTTCGCGCACTTGAACCGTAAGGCATGAATCAACCACGCATTTTGGGAAGGCAGATGCCTCAAAAACATCAGTCTTCAAAAATGATTGCCGACGCCCGTCACTACCAAACTCTTACATAACGCCAGAGAAACAAATTAACAGCAACCGACCCGCGGAGAGCTGAAAGAAATCATCGCCATGCCAGCGCCGATCGCGAAGATCTCTACCCCTACATAAAGGGTAAAATTGATGCCAGTCTCGCTGAAACCAAGTATGGATAAAGGGCAGGACTTCAAGAGATTTCTCCAGAGGTCCTAAAACATCTGGGGCGTAACGTTCGAATGTCACTTATCGCACTTTTCACAGAAATCCACCACACCGGGGAAAGTCTGAAAGACGGCAAAAGTGGTTGTCATCTTGAAACCTGGGAAATGACCTAATGAAGTGACAAGCTAAAGGCCTATCTCGTTCCTGAACACAGTTTACAAGCTGCTGGAGGAGGTGCTGTTGGCACATCTCACGACCATCACAGGGTTAAGAGTGCCACATGAGCAAGCTGTCCTCCGGACCTGAAGGAGCCGCACCGAACAAGTAGTCGCATTAATATCGCTCGTCGAATCTGACCTCCGAAGAAGACAAAAGACTGGAACAGTTCTCACTGACCTCAGTTGCGCCTTCGATACGATGTGGAGACAGGAACTGTTAACTACAGAGGTCTGCAAAGAGACTAAAACGTCGCAGCACCGTACGACTCTAACATCAATGCTAAGCAACCGAAGAGTTCATGTGTACTTGGGCGATCAGATAAGCTGAACCAAGACAGTGAAACACGGACTGCCACAAAGCCCCTTCCTGGCACCCCCACTTTTCAACATTAATGCAAGCGAAATGCAGTCAACATCAGCCAGAAAATTTGCCTACGCGAACGAGGTGGCACTTGCTTTCCTAAACAGAAGTTCTGACCAGGTCGACTGAAAGGCAACCGCCTACCTGATGACAGCGGAAAAATATTACCAGTGCTGGCGCCTCCCCCTCAACTCATCAAAACAACTGCAATGCCTTTCATCTCAACAACCACCTGGCAATGGCTGGCCCGGAAGTGTCATTCTGTGGCGATCAAGTCAGAAACGAGGCGAACCAAAAAATGCCTGGGAGTAACCTTTGACCGCAGCTCCAAGTTCGGAGAACACTTACGAAGACCCGTACAGAAGCTGGCGGTAATAACCTGCAAATGTCACGCTCACAACCTGTGAACAGCAGTCTTGGCAACTGTATACTTTACCTAGCTCCAAATCATCCATATACGGAACCTCGGTGCCATCCTTAAGAACACAATGATGGTCATAACAGAAACCACCCACAGCTCTACACCTCCCTGGTTATCGGTAGTTTCGAACATAACTCCTCTGACATAAGCTATTGAAAAGAATTCCGCAAACTCCATGATGAAACCAAATTTGCCTGTTTACTAAAAGCTGAAGAATCCCCGCACGACAAGACTCAAATGGAAGAAACCATCGTGACAAACGGCCAGGTCTTAACGACGTCATCTTTCGACACGAATAATCTGCGGAGAAAATATGACAGAATTCGAACGCGCTGAACAACGCTTTATTGAGGATCCAACAAAATTCTGTCCTGGTTCCAACTGGCAATGGGTAACTTTAAACAGAATTCGCAGGAGTGGGCACCACTTGCAAAATGACGCTACACGTGTACCATTACAGCTACGCAGATCAAACAGTCGACCACGTCGTCAACCAGTGCGAATCAAGAAAATTCGAGAAAGGCATTACATGCGTTGGAAACGGAATGCATCGCCTGGCTGTCCAAATCACATCCCGACTTAGAGCCTTCGCTGCCATACGCAAGAAGAAGAAGAAGAAGAAGAAGAGATCAACGCCGAAGTTTCGAAGCATCAGTGGTTACTGAGATCTGCCACCTGTTCTA